ATGAACAAACTCATTACAGAACTACACGTACAGTCTTCCAGGTTTGTGCAATAGAAACCCTAAAAAGAGGTTACACAGAAAATCCAGCCAGCCCTAAAAAGAATAAAAGAGAAAAAAAGTTGGAAAAATAAAAGCAGATAAAAAGACCACATCAAAATAGTCAGAGATTAATTCAAAAATCAACAAAACCTGGGTAAACAAAACAGCGTGAAAAGCAGACAAACTGGCCAGATCTGCAGGGCTGTATCTCGTGAACAGAAGTCAATACTTCGGAAGATGCTACATGTCAAATTTGACTAAAAATCCCCTACTGTCCAAAGCCTAATTTTAAATTTTATTCGAGATATTTCACTTTTCAGGTTACGTCGACCATTCACAAATTTATTCCCCGAAGTCCCTCGTGTTTCAGAAAATATTAACCCTTCTGATGATTTCGTTACTCCAATAGAAAGAGCATAGAAATTATTAAGAAGTTCATTTGTTTTTATTGTAACCTTAAGAAAAAAAACCAAAATCACTTAAAACACTTTTAGTGTTTTCACAGTTTTTGTATAAAGTTTAAATTAGATTTTCTTGGTTCTAGTTTAAACAAAAGTAACAAGCTGTAACATGTATTTCTATTCCATCTAATTTCTAAAGGTCAATTATCACCAATACAATTTTTTTAGTTTAATTACTAAATTTTAACCATTTGGACAAAAGAAGTGCTAGCTTGCTCCGGCATGCCAGGCCAGAAAGTATCATACTTAAAAGAAGATTAAGGCCTAAATTAAATTTGTGAGAAGTCTTTTTAAACCTAAAAAATCCTTGAAATCGAAACACTTTCAACAAAACAACAAAATATTATTATAAAAGATTTGCAAACTCATAGAAAACGATATTCAGTTCGGAATGAGATGCAGATTTATTTTCAAGTCTATCCATTTGTTATGCAAATATATGATAGTTTTCGTAATGATAGCATGGTGATTAGTGATGATCACGATAACCGGGCGCGAATTTACAAAAACGAACCGCAAGGCGCAGTCTCCGGGCTTTGTTTGCGCCCGGTGTTGCTGGAGAAACGGCTTAGCTGCTGGAAGGGTCAGTGGGCGCGAAATGCCTGCCAGGGCGACGTCTCTCATCGAGCTCAAGAAGCGTCAATGGGCGAGAGAAAGAGGTTCGGTAACTTAAAATTAAACCGCACAATTTATGTACTGTACCGACAAAGTTCAAGACACATTGAAAAAAAGTCCGTAGACAACCGGGCTTTGTTGAGAAAAAAATCACCTGTTGAGTTCATCCTCCATAGATTTGTTGGCTTTTCCATCTGCTTTCATACAACCCTTTTTTTATTGTTTTATTATTATTATTATTAAATTTGTAAAAAGCAATCGATGATTCATTAAGTCGATGACCGTTCGTGATGCTACCCAATTTTATCGAGAGTCGTTGGCCTTCTGATGCGCGTGTTGTCATTGATTCCATGCTCGATCGTGACCTCAACTTGTTTTTTTTTTCCATAAAACCACGAAGAATCAATTTTAACTGCCCACGAATTTTCAACAAAGTTACTCGTAATGTATACATTAAAAATACATTAAGCCAGCATACATCAAAAATATAATTATGAGTGTTTAATGACCTTCATAAAATGATCAGGAATGACAAAATTTTCCGAACAGCAAACAAATCTTTGTAATTTGCTATTTATCAACATACAAAATATTCTAACATGGGGATTACACAACAGGAAATTGTTAAATCCCAAAAAAGAAAGAGAGAGAGAGAGAGAGAGAGAGAGAGGGAGAAAGAGAAAGAGAGAGAGAAAAGATGGTGGAAAGATAGAGATTGTAGGCAACAAAATGAAAAAAAAAATTGAATAAACTTATTGCATTTATAAAGGGAGAGAGAGAGAGAGAGAGAGAGAGAGAGAGAGAGAGAGAGAGAGTAAAAGAAACAAAGAAACATCATTAAAGTAGGTGTAGAAACGAAGAAAATTCGAAAAAATTGTATTTGATCGAGATAATGTGACAAGCGAGAAAGAGAGAAAGAAAGAGAGATAGCCAGTAAAAATAAGAGAAAGAAAGAGAGATAGCCAGTAAAAATAAGAGAAAGAAAGAGAGTGAGAAAATGAAAGAGAGAAAGGAGGGGTAGAGAATAGACAAAAAATTAAAAAAATAATTCTTGAATAAATTTAATATGTTGATAAAGAGAAAGAGGAGAGGGAGATCTATATAAAGATAGATAGATAGATCGATAGATAGAGAGTGCTATTAAAAGAAAGAGAAAGAGAAAGAGAGAGAGAGATGTAAAATTAGATAGAAAGAGAGAATATTTGAGAATTTCGAATAAAACACAGATAAACAACATTAAAGAAGGTGTAGGGACAAAGAGAAAAAGAGGAATAAATATTGGCAGATATAAAGAGAGAGAGTGAGTGAGAAAGGTGAGAGATTAAATAGATAGTAAAATGCGAGAGACGAGAGATAAATCGAGGGAGAGTGTGAGACGGACAGAAAGCGGGCGTAAGAAGAGAGAAATATAGAGATCGGGAGAGTGTGTGTGAAAGAGAGAGTGTGAGAGAGAGAAAGGAGAGGGAAAGATAGAGACTGTAGACATTGAATGAATAAATCACTTTCATTTATGAATTTAATCTTGAGCAAACACATTAAAAACACAACAAAGCTATCAGAAATGTATGTAGATTAACTTTTCTAAATAATGCTTCAACTCAACCTGAGTTCTGAGTAGAACCATCATTTACAACAAGTAAACAAAGTTAGTACAAAATTAATATAAAATAAGTTTTTAGTAGTTTTCTTTCAAGTGCCTTTGTGTTTAAGAGAGAGAGAGAGAGAGAGAGAGAGAGAGAGAGAGAGAGAGAGAGAGAGAGTGAGAGAGAGAGTGAGAGAGAAAACTTAGATATTTGTGATTTGTGTATATATATATATACACATCTATATGATCTTCCCAATAAAAATAGTTATCACCCATCCAACTGTATGTCTATTGTATATATATTAAAAAAAATATATATACATATACGTTGATAGATAGATCAAATAGTAAGATAGTAAGTAAGTAGGTAGATAAATATATACATGGACAACATGTCAGATTGGCTGAAAAATATCTTGAGTGTTGATATATACATCAACAAACAGATATATTTATAGGTTAGTACAAAGGCAGATTAGGTTGATGGATAAATAGATAGGTAGGTAGCTCGATATACAGATATATTGATAGATAAGAAGATAGATAGATAAATAAATTTATACAATAGACATACAGTTGGATGGGTGATAACTATTTTTATTGGGAAGATCATATAGATCTGTATATATATACACAAATCACAAATATCTAAGTTTTCTCTCTCACTCTCCCTCCCTCCCTCTCTCTCTCTCTCTCTCTATAAATATATATATATATATATATATATATATATATATCCCTTGCACCAACGCACTCTTTATCTCTTATTCTGTTTCCCTCTTTTCTTTCACTCCCTTATTCTATCTTTTATTTGGTTTTCTACAGTTTCCTGTTGTGTAATTCACACTTTTAGAATAAAATCTCTATCTTTTTACTTCACCTAATTTTCTTTTATTTTCTCTGAACATCTAAAATATTCTGAAGCCCTTCAAAAGAATTTTCAATTAGGAAATCTTTTGTTTACTCAGTGTGTAGCAGTTTTGTTGTCTAACTATATACGTAAATTAAATATTAGAATAACTTTTTGTTTGTTTTAAATGTTTACGTTCTATGATGCGCCCTTAACTATAAATTTTTAGATCTAATGATTTAGCAGAGGCTACTCGCTTATATTATTAAACTTTAGATGTAAAACTGATCATAGTGACCAAATCTCGAGTGGTTTAATGAATAATGCATCAGTCGATCAAACAGACTCTTTCTCTTTTGGGGTGTTATTGTGCTTGGTCAAAAGCACATGCAGATATGCGCTCCATCTTACTTTATATAATTACATAGACCATACAGCATTTCCATAGCTTAGGAGAGGGTGCGTTATATTTATTTTAACCTTTTAAGGGTTCACTTGTTTTGAATGTAAACTTGTGTATTGAATCTGTACATAGTAGCAGTGTGCCGAAGTCTAATTTTTGATATATGTTTTCGGCCCCAGCAGAAGACATGAAGAACTACGGCGGGATCTGGAGGCATTTCAGCGACGCCGAGGAGCCCAAGTACCGTCCGTGCACCAGGTCAGTGAACCTTTCACCCCTTTTTCCTTTCTCGGCGGGGTGAAACTGGGACATCAAGATTTGCATAAGCATTCCCACCCTTCTTTCGAGTCGCGTGAACAATTTCAAACCGCCCTCCCCTCGGGTATCTTGGGCTTATTCGACTGAAGGGCCACCCGGAAGATGGAACGTCCGAGAAAGCTGAATGTACAGTTGCGGGACGTTACATTTCCCTCCTTCCCGAGTTTCCAATTGCTAAGCTTCTCAAAAAATCTAGAAGACGAATTGTAAGTATTTTTTTTTTCAAAATAACTACCACAAAACCAGGAAAAAGGCATTGATAACTAACACATCCTAACTTAAACCAGCTGCTTTAATTTCTCTTGATATACTTACCTGATAGGTTACTAATTAACTTAACAGAAACTTAACGAAATTCCATTAAATTAAATTTTTCTTGTTTTAGTTACAAACTTTAAAAATGTACGATTATGCATCAAACAACGCATTTTTTGTATGTACCTGATAACTACCATATTTGAGCTTATTCATACATTCCTCGGAGATCACGTTAATCATGCTTTAACTTTAAATCCGAGTCTATTTATGATAATCACCTACTTCGGATTTTGCCAGTCTGGGGGTCAGACCGACTCCAGAGGCTGTCCACATCTAGGCCATTTCAGCCCCCAATACATGCAGTTTTTAAAGCTACATTTATTTACACTCTCACTAATAAGTTCATTCAACCTCAATAGACAAAGAACCAGATATATACCAAGTTCTATATACAATGAAACAGTTCGTTTCCTCCGAAAAGCGGAACAACATAAAAAGTCTCTCAAGCGCACAATTCTCATCGGGTGGTATGCCTACACGCTCTCTGTATGGATCCAAGTAATGGCACTCTTAAATTAAGTGGGGCATATCGAGCATGACGTATGATTGGGCTCAACATTTTCTGCGCGTAAACCTCATATGGCCTATTCTTATTCGGGTTAAGGTGGCTCTTCTACAGTCAGATCCATCGATGGCCACCTATCGACAGTTCTCTTGATACCTTCTAAACCTTCTATGCGGATTTTTAAATCCTTTGGCAACCTACTTATATTCAGGTAAAAATCGAAAAACGTATATGGTTTAAGATTCCTCCTTGGGAATCCAATTTACCATCTCTACTCCTTCCAGTTATTAGTTTTCTTACTCAAAAATGAGTTGTTAATGAATCGGGCAGATATACAACAGCCATAGTTGTCTCGTTACTAAAAAAAATCTGATTGAACAAAGAAAATTAATTTAGTCATTTTTTACATTAAGAACTTGCCTTTCATAAAAAACCTGCTGACAATTGGTAAATATATGATAGCTATAGTTGTCTCGTTAGTAAAAAAGTCAGATTGGACAAAGAAAATTAATTTAGTCATTTTTTACATTAAGGACTTGCCTTTCATAAAAAAACCTGCTGACAATGGGTTAATATAAAATAGCTATAGTTGTCTCGTTAGTAAAGAAGTTAGATTGGACAAAGAAAATTAATTTAATCATTTTTTTACATTAAGGACTAGCCTTTCATAAAGAAACCTGCTGACAATGGGTTAATATATAATAGCTATAGTTGTCTCGTTAGTAAAAAAATCAGATTTAACAAAGAAAATTAATTTAGTCATTTTTTACATTAAGGACTTGCCTTTCATAAAAAAACATGCTGACAATTGGTAAATATACAACAGTTATAGTTGTCTCGTAAGTAAAAAAGTCAGATTGGAGAAAGAAAATTAATTTAGTCATTTTTTATATTAAGGACTTGCCTTTCATAAAAAACACGCTGACAATTGGTAAAACTGTGGGTTTAGCTTTTAGTTCTCTTCTTTTACTTAAACGCGAGATTTGGCAAATATGACCTTTATTTTGAATTTTTTTTTGTAATATTATCGGCCAAGGTTTGGTTCCTCCAAATAGTCAAATAACAAAAATTACATTGTTTAGAAAACATAAATGAACGTGAAATTATGTTTTGGCTGTGAGCTTTCTGACAGTTCTGGCTCGTTGATTAATTTAATTTTTACATGGTCTAGTTTTTATTGGATCTTCCGTCAACTAAGGATGTAAATATATTTTATTCCTGGTAATATTTTCAAAATTCGTTTGGTAGAATTTGTGTGTAGACTAAATTGACCTATTTATGATCCTAAATGCACATTTTTGACTTTAAACCTTTCGGGAGATCAAGCAGTTAGAATCTTTTTCTTGTACTTTTAAACTTGTTAAGTATTTATTTAAATTTTCTGATTTTCCTTTGGTTATATCATATTGTCAAGAGCCTTGGGATGCTTGAAAATAGAACACGAACTTTATTTCTTGACTATTGACCGGGGGCCGGACGACTGACCCGTCTTCTTCACGATCGATCCAACATTTCTAGGTTTCGTCTACGGTTGAACGACGCAAAATCGCGATCGTTAAGAGGCGGACTTCGCGTCCAGAGTGGCCGGCAGCGCAAAAAAATATTATCAAATGGGGGTGAACGACCGTAGCACGCACGGTCTAGCGTATTGCTGATCGATGCTGGCCGCACTTCCGGCTAGCCGTCAGTCTTCCCCTGGCCGCCTCAAGGAAATGCTACCATGGATCGAGTGGGTACACTTAAAGATAAATTTCGAAAGCACGGAAATGATTTCAAAAGCCATTTGTACCGAAACCGAATATTTAAATAAAACACTAGATCAATAGAATATCATTAATTCATAGCATCAACCCTTTTCGCTAAAATCTCTAAATATTGACATATGTGAAACGTGTCAATACCACGTTTAATACTTCATTCTGTAATATCCACATACATTGGTTACCTTCTGCATCTTTCAGTTCTTGCCACCCCGTTAGAAACAATCAAGCAAAATGGCATATTTCTCTTCAGATTTCTTTCCTTTATTATTGTAAAAATCTATCTTTTTTCTCTTCTACTGTGCCGAGTATGATACTATGGTGTAGTCCTCCCTGGCTCTTCTCTCCCTCACTTTATCACTTTATCTCTCTCTCTCTCTCTCTCTCTCTCTCTCTCTCTCTCTCTATTACTCTCATTTTCATTCTCTCCCTCAGTTTCTTTCTCTCATTCCATCGTTCTATAAATCTTACTAACTTTCTCTCATTCTATCTCTCTATCAATCACGCACACATTCTAACTCTCTCTTTATCTTTCTTTTTTCTCTCTCTCCCTATCTACCTATACCTTTTTCTCTCGCTTCTCATTTTATCTCTTCCAATGTATTTTCCTATATTTTTTTTTTGTTCCTCCACTTTCTTTAATGTTGTTTCTCTGATTCATTATTCATTTTCATTACCACTTACTGCTTTGCTCATTCTCTCTGACTTTCTTTGTCTCTTTATTTATAACTTTAAATTTAGTCTTTCCCTTTTTTTTCTGTTTCTCTTCCTTTTTCTTGCTTCTCACGTTATTTCGACCAAATACAGCTTTCTCGATTGCTTTTCGTTTCTACACCTTCTTTCATGCTGTTTCTTTGTTTCTTTTACTCTTTCTCTCTCTCACTCACTTCTACCATCTTTTCCCCCTCAATTTAACTCTCATTTCTCTTTCTTTCTCTCACTCTCTCTCTCTCCCTCCCCCTTTCTCGCTTCTTACTTCACCTCGACCAAAAACATCTTTCTCTTTTCACTTTGTCTCTACACCTACTTTCAGGCTTTTTCTTTGTTTCTTTTACTATTTCTCCTCTTTTTCTCGTACTCACTTATACTCTCTTTTTTCATTCAATTTCACTTTCATTTCTTTCTCTCTCCCTTCACCTTTCTAGCTTCTTACTTTATCTCGACCAAATACAACTTTCTCCATTTCTCTTCGTCTCTACACCTACTTTCAGGCTATTTCTTTGTTTCTTTTACTATTTCTCCTCTTTTTCTCGCACTCACTTATACTCTCTTTTTTCATTCAATTTCACTTTCATTTCTTTCTCTCTCCCCTCACCTTTCTAGCTTCTTACTTTATCTCGACCAAATACATTTTTCTTTATTTCTCTTTCTTTCTATACCTACATTTATGTTATTTCTTTGTTTCTTTTACTCTTTCTCGCTCTCACTCACTTCTACTCTCTTTTCCCCACAAATTAACTCTCATCTCTCTCTCTCTCTCCCTCTCCCTTTCTCACTTCTTACTTTATCTCGACCGAATAAATCTTTCTCGGTTTCTCTTCGTTTTTATATCTACTTTTATGTTGTTTCTCTGTTTCTTTTACCCTCTATCTAACTCACTTCTACTCTCTTTTTGCTTTCACTCAATCTCACTTTCATTTATTTCTCTTTCTCCCTCTCCATTACTCCCTTTCTCATTCTCTCTCTGATTTTCTTCATCTCATTTTATCTAACTCTAAATCTCACGCTCTCTCTCTCTCTCTCTCTCTCTCTCTCTCTCTCTCTCTCTCTCTATCTCTTTCTCTCTCCTCCATCTCTTTATACGTATTAAGTTTATTCGAGAATTTTTTTGAGGTTTATTAACCCGGAGTATTGAATCAACCTCTTCTCATTCTAAGTAACGTTTCACTGTCAGATTGTTGCCGTTCACGGCCGTTGAATGTTATTGTATTCAAGAAAACCCATTGTGATCTTATCGACTTGGCCTAAAGCCTTTTGAAGTTCGAGGTTGTAAAGGCCTTCTTGAAAAAAGTTCCAAGTTCAAAAGTTTTTCCGTGATCATTTGTGAAGTGAAAGTGTAGCCGGGTTTTAAATTTCGGCTGAAAGGGGGTTTAGAGTGAAGGTGTTTTTTTTTAAATAGGGTGGTGGAAATTATAAATGCTTTGGGTTTTTATATTATAAAATATATAATATCAATATTACAATATGTTGTCGATTATGCGTAAGATTCGTCGTGTTTTGAACATAGATATATCTCGTCTTTACAGTTTGAATTTAAATTATAAAGGGTTTTTGGTTTTTCCAAACAGGGGGCAGTTTAAGTCAAATTTGGAACTTAAGTCCTACACTGAATTATCTCCTATTTTGAGAAGAAGAACGCCCAGTCTTCCACCGATCAACGCCGTCAATTACGAAGTGAGTTCGAGTACTTAACGCCATATAAAGCGGCCCATAGACGGTCGATATTATTGTGCAATATAGATTGCACAATAATTTGACGGTTGCCCCTTAATGTTCAATAATATTGTACAAAATTTTGTTGCAATGAACTTGAATAGTTTGAAGGCGATATTGAAGTTTGTGCAATATTTAGTGCACTTGTTGGTACTTCACAAACTGACTGATATTGCGCAATAATGCGAAGAGACGGTGCAATATTTTCCAGGTTGTACAATATATTTTCAAGTTTTCGTCAATCATGCAATATTGCACAAACTTTCAATATCGATTAAATTGCACAACCCAAAATATTGTGCAATAATATTGATCGTCTATGGGCCGCTTTAGAAAAACCGATTGGGTTCATTTTCATTTTGTACAGACCCTGCAGTGCAGCCCACCCGATGAGGGCGACACGTCGGGGTACGCGAGCGACTCGGCAGGAAACGAGTACCTACTCGGCGAGACGTGGACCAAGCACACACCCTGGACTTCGTACCCAAGGTAAAAAAAGTAGCTAAGCACCTATCGATCCCGACCGTCATTTAATTAAAACGGATCCAGTCACGCCACTTTGCGGTTTAAATAAGTTTGTTTCGTAAAAATATCTGCCGAGGGGTGAAAATGAGCTAAACCGCTGCATGTTACACACGATTATTTAAATAGAAAACCTTTTTTTTCACCCTCCTAACCCAAATTTTTATTTACGTGTACACTCCTTTAGTAATTCATTCCCCCTTCTGAGACTGGAATAAATTTCTGTTTTTGTAGAAAAACGCCAGAGTCGTCTGGAGAAAGGGCGAAATGGGGCGATAGGGGAGTAGGGATAGGCCATCTCTGGACCCCGAACCCGCATATACCTCAGGCACCGCTACCTCTCGTAGAGCGTTCCACCCCTTCCTGGCTCAACAGGGGATTAAGGCAAGTATCCCCCTTCTCAATCATATTAAAATCTAAACAAAATTGGCAAATTTCAGGGAACCGGCACAAGTATTAGTCATAGCGCACGAAGAGACGTACACAGATAGCCTGACAAGCAGCCAGGATATGTCTAAAAGTTGTGATACAATTATATCAACCGATGATTTCCCAAGGTAGGATTTTATCTGTAAATACTTAAATTAAAAAAAAGTAATTTAATCTTTTGTTTAGAAATTATCTCAGGGGTCAAATTGCTACATCAGACCCTCAGGTGATTGCAGACCGTGAAAGAAGAAGGCTGAAAGCTATAGAACAGCACAACGCCATAAAACAGCAAGTAGAAGAAAAGGAAAAAAAGAAAAGAGAAGAAATGGAACGGCTAGAAAGAGAGGAACGGGAAGAAGAAGAAAGGTTGAAAAGGTATCAAGAGCTCGAGCTAATGAGGATTGAAGAAGAGAAAAGAAAACTTAAAGAAAAAGCAGTAAGTTTTTATTTTTACCAAATAAATTACATATTAAAAGATTTATTTTAAAGGAAAAAGAAGAAAAGAAAGCCAAGGCGATGAGAGAAGCCCTAGAAATCGCCGAGAGGGCTGCGAAAGAGGAAAAAGCACGAGCGAGGAGGAAACATTTAAGAAAAGACAAAAGCCCGGTACAGCATATCATGAAATACAGCGATAAAGAAAACGAAAAGAGTGAACAAAAAGAATTAATAAAGGAAGAAAGTAATAAAGTACATGTCGAAGAGACAGAGCATGTAAGAAATGAGCATCAAAATAAAGAACAGGTAAAGGATGATGACCGAAAGGCAGAGCACATAATGGATGAGCATCAGGTGCAAGACGAAATGAAAGACGTAAAGACCGAAGATATAAAAACAAATGAAAAGAAAGAAGAACAAATCCGAGAAGAGAAAGATAAAGAATTACCAAGAGTAATGGAAAATGAAATAATAGACTCAGGTGTAGAATCGTGTCTCACTGAAAGTAAAGATGAATCTGAAAAATGTACCGAACCAGAAACTAAACCTGAACCATCTGTATGTTGAATTAGTATGGCAATTGTATAAAAATGATGAGTTTTTGATGATGTTGAGTTTTAGCAGGCTTTTGAACCTTCGCTAGAACGCGTGATTCCAGAGGTTTGCCATTCACCACCGCCTCCTCCTGAGCAATCTTTTGAAAAAATGGCCACACACCCGTCGGAAATTCGCGAACTCACTCTGGCCGTGAGCGAACTCAGGATAGAAGCTGAAGAGATAGACGCGAGCAGGATCTGCGTCGTGCCTTCCCCTGGAAGGCTCCTTACGCCGACCGTATTCCGGCAAAAAGCCAAGACCGAACGGTCCACTCAGACCGAGACAAAGTAAATCCGCAACTAAATATTTTTAGACCAAAATGAAAAATTTGCGTAATTTTCAGAACGAGAATTAGCAGAAGCAAATCAATCAGGATGGAAGACAGACCGAAATGGGGCGTCAACAGGCCCACAACCAGATACGTCAAGGCAAGCGATCGCGATCCTTACAGAAAAACAATAAAATATAGGCAAAATGATTCCAGGTAAAACAAACTACAAACATTAAATTTTACTTAATTCTAATTAATAATTTTATTAGGTCACCATCGCCTATGAACCACTCCAAGACATCCTTCATGAGCTTTTGTCCATTGAGCGGAAATACATCTTCAGGTAAAATTTCAATGAAAATTATGGATACCTGCAATTACGACAATTTAATGAGATCACAGTTAACATATTTAAATTTTTTCCAAATTAAATACCCATGATTTGAATTTTGTCTAACAATCACCTCAGAACTACAAGGATTTTTAAATGTATTTTATTGTTTTTGCTGTGTTTGTAAGTTGTTTAGTGTCACTGTTGTGTTTGTATTAATTTAATGAAATGTAATTTATTAGCGTGAAAGGAAGAGGGTTTTCAACCCCACGCCTCGAGGAATATTGATTACTCTAGGGGTGTGCATGTTACCACATATAAGTTTGTATCGGCTGTTGTGTTTATTTTAATTTTTGGAACGAATGTAATTTATTAACGCGATAGCCGAGTGATTAAGGCGTCATGGGCTAGTGGATCGGTCGTGGGTTCGATTCCCACCGTCGCCTCCGAACATTTTTTCAGACGGCACAATAAAACGAAATTGACACGGCACTCATCAATTAAAGGGGTAGGATCGGATCTCAGCGCCCCTAAATTCTGTACCAACCCCCTTCCAAAATCTTTTAAAAATGAGTTTCTTCGATGAAAGAACACCGGCACGCTGGGGGTTCAAATTCACACGAGTATTCCGAGGCCCCAAAAATGGAGCCAGGGCTAAAGTACAATAAGCTGTGCAGAGCTCAGGTGGAACTTCTTCAGTTCCTGGTATACATTGTAAAACAAATTAATTAATTTAGTTTCTATAATTATTCACCATAGTACTGTAATAACAAATCAAACACTTTCAATAAACAAAAAAAAACGGTTTTATCTATAAAACAAAATATTAGTCATTTCAGTGGAAAAAGAACGTCTTAAATTGTTTCAAAATAAATTTACAATTTTTGCAATTCATTACTTTTTACGTTTAATTAATGTTTCTATAAATATTTGATCGAGTCAAGTTTTATATATTCGTTTGTTTTATATTTGTGTGAATTCCTTATTTAAATTTTATTATTTGAGGGTCGTTTGAAAATCGGCTGGCCTCTGAAATTAATTAATCCATACCGTCAAAATATCTTGTTGAAAAAAAAAAGAACAAATAAATAGCCCACAAAAGATGAACTTGTTAATTCGATAATCAATGAGAATTATAATATACCATACATATATAATTGTAGAAAAATTAAAATTATAAATAATAAACTAAAATTATAATTAAAGATCTATTATATTATTTTTATAATTAAAAAATAATATTGTTCTAACAAGAAACAATCATAAATATAAATGCAGATATACAGTTCGGCACGACCGAACGGTAGTGCTGGTTTAGCATAGCCTAGGCGCCGTGCATTTGTGCACAAAACATCTAAATATAATAAAATCACCGATTAAAATCTCTCTCTCTCTCTCTCTCTCTCTCTCTCTCTCTCTCTCTCTCTCTCTCTCTTTCTCTCGTGTGATAGATCGTATTAAAAAACACCCCACACAGCCTAAAATAAACATCGACATTTTTCGTTCAAAATCTTTTGTCCTTTAATTAAAAACAAAGTTCTAAAATTATTCATAAGTGTAGTGTTATTGAGAGTTGATTGAAATTCATTTAATAACATTAGTAATAATAATAATAATAACTTATTCATATTTTTAGCAAATTGGTTGTTAACAATTATTATATTTATATTTAGTCACGGACAGGTTTATTTTGCCTTTTGAAATGTTTTACTTGCTCCGTGATCAAATTGCTGCAATTAACAGAAAATTAACTTTTGTGTTTGAAACTGTTGAAGTCGGAAGTTTGAAGGTTTGGAAGAAGCCACTGTTAGAGTTGAAAAATTTCGTTTCAAAAATCACATATCCTTTGGGGGATCCTTTGGAAATGATAAAACCTACGAAATCAGTCAATAATAGTTAGAATTTTTTGTTCTACAATTGCAAATGTGTGGTGTTTGTATTTGCTCGAGGTCGAAAAGTCTCTCGTTTCTCAGCAAATTTCGAACGTAGCACACAAACACAAAACTCGGCCCAACTTTTGCATTACAACAGGTCAAATTTTTTGTCAATAATTAATATGAAAATATTAACAGGTTTAAAGCTAAAATCCATTCGAGGAAATTATTAAAGTGAATTAAAAAAAAATCATTTCCTCTAAATTTACAAAAGTCATTACAAGAGTCATTAGAAAATTATAAGGGGAGGTTGAAGTTTTAGGCAAGATGGTTTATTCACAAATACTAAAAATTGCATTGCACAGTCTTTGTTGGAAGAAAATTGGTCTTTCAAGATAGTTATCTCAGACAGTCACACTCCGCTCTCTCGGCTGTAACGTCTTGAATTACTGTTGATGGAAGCTTTAAGCTGTCGTCGGCTTTTTACAGAATAATCGCCCTCTCCTTAAACTTGGCACACTACCATTGGCACTGCCGCCAACCGTGTAAAGCCCTACTTTCGCGGCAAAACGTTATCTTTATTACTTTATCGAAAAATAAGCTAAATCTTGTTATTTCATCGGGTGTAATATGATTTTTTTTTCAAAAAGTAGAAATCTCAAACAACATGTATATCTTATGATTCTTCCTTCTTGAAGGTGGGATAATAGGTCATCTCTAAAAAACCACAACCAGTTTTTATCCACAACGTTTCGGATTTATTTTAATCCTTCCTCAGGTGAGTTAACGCCTACACAAAACAAATATTTTTTTACATTTTTATCCAGGGTTATCGGAACAGTTGAGAAGTTGTCTGAAAAGGAAGTCCCTCTAGTTAAGTTGGCCTTCCGAAACAGTAATGCGGTCAAAAAATACTACTCACCGCTAAAAGATAAAATAGAATCAGGCCTGGTATACAAAATTGAATGCAAAGACTGCAAGAAAGCATACTATGGTGAAACCAAACAATACCTAAAGAATAGAATTTATCAACATAAATACACAGTCCAAACTAGTAAAAACAATGAACCTGCCTTGGCACAACATGCAGTTGTTGAAGGTCATACATTTTTATTTGATGTTGTTAATATTGTTACAAAGGATCGAAATAGTAAAAAACGAAAGCTCCTAGAGGCCATAAAAAAAGATAACCTATCTGTCAATTACCGTCAAGACTGTGATATGCTAAGTGATTGCTATTTTAATTTGTTAAACAATATATAAAAATAATCTAGTCAATTTGAAACTCTGGAGGAAACTTAAAATCTGTGATAGTTGTGATAATAATTGTTAAAATATTGTTAATAAAATAAATAAAATTTGTTGTTTAAAAATAATTTATAAGAAAAATGCAATTTTAACTGTTGAGTGGTATTTTTAATGTTGATTCGTTGGTCTGTGATAAGATGTTGGTAAGAGGTCGAACGTCACATAAGAGGTTGTGATAAGAGTCTAGTCAGGTTCAAAATATTAAAACGTTTGTTTCTAGTCTGAATAAGTACCACACTGGCTCTTTTTTAAAATAAATTGTTATAAAATATTAATGACTGACGACCACTTTTTTAACCATTGTAAATTAGTGAAGACACAATGATAACTATGTTGATATAAAAATGTAAAAAAAATATTTGTTCTGTGTACAGGCGTTAACTCACCTGAGGAAGGATTAAAATAAATCCGAAACGTTGTGGATAAAAACTGGTTGTGGTTTTTTTGAGATGACCTATTATCTCACCTTCAAGAAGGAAGAATCATAAGATTAACTGTTGAGGTCGAAATATAAGAAAACATCGAAAATATATATATCCCATGTTATAAGCCACATAGAACTAAAAAAAGTCCTGGTTTTGACCTAATCAGAGAAAAAATATTTCGACACCTCTCTAAAACCTGCAGTTTTCCTCAATTATCTTTACTTATATGTCCTCAGAAGAACGTATTTCTCACCTCAATGAAAATGGCCTAAATGAGCTAAATCATTTTAAAAAATCTATTTTAAGGACATTCACTCCTTTTCCTTTTAACAACCTCATTCCTGACAACCAGGTTGGGTTCAGAAGTTATTTCAATATTCAGTAGTGCCATCGAGTTTTATACATCGAAAGGTGTGCTAGGTGCATTCCTAGATGTAAAGCAACTTGGTGTATGGCATTCGTAGATGCTCTGAATCCTTTTAGGTAAAAACCCACTATCTGATCCAAAAATCCGACATATGTCCAAGTCATAATGTCGGTGGATGTTTGACCTGTTCTGCGAAAGCCAGTATGAAATACAAATTTACCTCTGAGACATCTGTTAGGTCGATTAATATGAAAGTAAAATAGAGTATCGGGAGCATCAGTAACCTAGGGGCAATCTTCTAGGAAAAGAATAAATTGGCAGAACTCAGCAGTTCCATCGCCTTGTAGTCAGCTCAGTCAGCCTTCTATCTAGAATGGCACTCAGCTTTGGAAACTTAAGAACATTCATTTCCTTCAGCTTTTTCTAAGTCATGACCTACCCAGGTGTACCCCAAGGATGCATCTCAGAATCCGTCTTTTACTCAGTTTACACCGCCATATATATATATTATGCAGGGTGGGCGACCAAGACCCGAGGGGTTAAATGCCTGGGTAGACTCGTACCCCGTCCCTAAAAGGTCCGGGACTTGGTCGGCTCACGTGTCCTGCATAAACCTCTTGGACTTGTTCACCCCAAAATTTTGGACCATTTTATCTCGGGGAGTGATTTGGTGATGTCCTCTCCTTCAAAGATTTCAAATCTAGACCTAGCATACCTATCACACTCTGCGAGGTAGTGCCTTGCCGTTTCTTCTTTTATTTCGCAGAAGCAGCAAAAGGGATCTGGTAGGATACCCATTACGAAGAGGTGTCTTCTCAGTGGGCATTGGCCCGTCAGAATACCTATCAGCCTCCTAATTCCCTTCCTTGAGATAGAGAATAGCCATTTCGATTCTGCTGGTTTGATCGCCTTAACAAACTCTTTCGATTGCCTGTGTCCGGGGGATAAATTCCACTCCCTAAGGAATTGTTTCATACCCCAGTTATTGATACTCTCTTTTGCTGTGCTCGTAGAGTGGGGTAACACCGGTTGTGGCCCGACAAACAGTATTTGAACCTTCTTTGGCTAGGCCATCCGCCTTTTCATTGCCATGGTGTCCCTTATGTGCAGGTATCCAAACAAGGGTTACCTTGTTCTCAAACCTGAAAGAGATCCTATTGATAAGATCTATAGTTTCCTCCACCAGTCGTGAGGTTGACAAATCTTTTTGTAATCTGTAAGAATCTGTAGCAGCTGATTAGTGCTCTGACCTTAACCTCAATGTGAAGTCGTGTGGTATTGGTTATGATTTCAAGTGCTAGGGTGGGTGTAGTTGGCAATGCTCCTGTCATCATCAAACAACCTAGTCTTTGAAATGACCTTAATTTATTACTATTCCCTTTATTTTCTAGACCTTTCCACCACACTAAAGCTGCGAAAAAGAATCTAGGTAGAATAATTGCACTCTATAGCCAGTTGGCTACCCATGGTTTGATGCCCAATGTTTTACCGACAATTCTCCTACATTGTTCCATTGATATGGTGCCTTTCCTATATATGTTATTAATATGACCTTTCCAATGAAGTTTCCTGTCAAGGTCACACCAAGGAATTTGATTGAATCCACTAACTTTAATTCTATGCCCTGAAATTTAGGGTTTTTAAAATTACCTAATGTTCTTCTCCTGCTAAACATCAATTCTAGTTTAGCAGGATTAATTGATAAACCTTTGTCACTACACCACCCATAAAGTAATCCCATGGCGTTTTCCATCAGTAGTGAAAAAGTCAGGGGATCTCTACCTGTGAACATTATGGTACCATTATCTGAAAATAATTGACTGTACACCGCCATTCTTTCCTTGAAACTATGCGAATCTTACATACAAACGTTCAAAAATGTGATGTACTTTCACTACTACAATAGGATAGTTTCAATTCATCCTCCTTCGCACAGGTTCAGGTGTATTCCTAGGAAGTTTCTTAGGACCCATCCTCTATACAGTGTACGCGTAAAAATTTGATATATTTTTATATCAAAAAATCCCATCAACTCAGCCAAAAACTTGCACGCCGAGTCACGTCCCTTGACCAGTATTCAAGCTGTATAAAATGACAATAAACATACAAAAAGGTGAACATGTCAGATTCCCCCTTCAAAGAATAACCTATTACAACAGTATCCTTGTCCTAGTTGCTGATGCAGTAAATAAAATTATATACTTACATGAAACCTACACACGTGACTGAAAGGACAAGAACTCAAAAGATTCTTCAGAATTCTTTACAAAAATCTAGTGGATCGAAAACCATTATGAGACCGATTTGGATATACGAACCTTAAAGTTAGACAACCGTTCCAATCTCCAAACTTGTCCAATTTGTATTGTTCCGAACCATCATATGCTCTTTTATGTATCCTTAGATAGGAAAAATCAGTTGCAAAAAGTTTCACGGTTATCTTGTCACACAAACTTTCAAGTCAGAAGCCTTTCATCCCCGCCCTCTTCCAGATAAACCTCCCCCTAATTTACATTGACAAGGATTTTTTGTTCTTTTATACAGGTTCATCGGGAAATATTTATAAACCTGTTAACTCGAAAGCAGTTGGGACGCCAAGGGTCGTCCACGTCCTGCCGAACACAGGGGTACTCAAGAAATCTTCAGCCGGAAAAAAATACATCTCGATTAAAAGTCATTATATAATTATATTTATTCAATTGTGGTTTTAGTTTTTAATTAAAACCTAAATGAAATTTTAGATGGAAGAAAAGTCTCCAGTAAACAAATTAGCTCTGTTGTCGAAAAACATCACGACTTATCTGATATCCTGACTGTCAAAGAAGTCCTAGCGCAGCTTACTGCGTTAAAAAAGGTCAACTACTCTTCTCAAGTAATATTTTCATGGAAAATAAATAAAAGTTTTTTTTCTACAGGGGCTGACAATGAAGAAGAAGGAATGGGCGGTGACAAGAAGCCCGACGCCATTTTCCGAAGTATCTTCCGTCTCGTAAATCAGAATTGTTTAACCCATCTGTTTGGCCTGTTTTGTACATTTTTGTGTATTGAATTTTAATAAAGTGTTTTTCGATATTAAAATGAGTTTGAAAACAATTCCCTTTCAAAACGTGTAAGTCCCATATTATTTATTCACACACGTTTACAGCAACTTACTTAAATGTTCTAAGTACCTCGGTTTCCCTTGGAATTCACGTATTTAACTCCTTCCCCGTCCGCACTTATCGACCAAACACGAAATGGGTATTGCATAGACTTGCTCATTCTGACCCAGTACCGTGCCGAGATCCGACTTGTAAAAAGGTAAGTTCGTTATTAAGAAAGGCGTCCGTTGATACGACACACACTTCTTGTACGTTACACGCTTGTAAACAAAACCGAATGCGCACAATACTTAATATAAACTTTAATGATCTAGTATAAAATGGTTCACTAAAACAATAAATTAAAGATATTTGCACATTGTTTCAAAAGTACCGGATTGCCAGCGAAATCCCGTATCAACAAACTTAAAAACTTGGAACGTTCCATAATAAAAATTAAGTAAAATTACAACGCTCGAGGTCTGCAAGGTGATGAAATCGAAATTTGATCTTTCTCGCTTGTTTTCACATGAATGAATGATAGATAGATAGATAGATAGAGATTGATTGATTGATATCGCTGTATTTAACCAGGCAGAATCAGGTCTCTTGGACCTTTCTTACATCCAACATGGACAATAAATTATAATTTACAATATAAAAAAAAAAATTTAAATTGTCTGTTTTACATAAAGTATGGTAGATATCCATTTACAACATGAATTTTTACATTTATTAGTTTTTTTTTTTTTTTTTTTTTTACGAGGGTTCGCAACAGCAGAGGTCATATAAACCCTCAGGGTGCCGGTGTTTCTGAAAAAAAGCCCATTTGTAAGTATTTCGGGTTCGAATGCAGGGCCGCTGGATTCGAACCCGGGACCTTTACCTTACAGTGATGAGCGCCGTGTCAAAGACTAAACCTTGCGGCCACCGACGCCCCCTATTAGTTTATTAGTTTTACTTTTTGCAATTACTATTTTTTGTTTAACCTTTTTTGTGTTGTATCTATTAATAAAATTAATTATCAATTAAATTAAACAAAGATTTTACAAACATGTAGAAAAATTAAATTCTATAAACTTGTCGTTTATAAAAACGCAAGTTTAAACAGTTAAGTATATTCTATTAATCTATTAATCATGTTAGGAGTACATACATGAGAAATATTCTTTCGGAGCTTCTTTATACGAATTTTGAGATTCACATGTTTTTACATAATTGGGAAGTTTGTTATACAGTTGAATACTTCTTGGAATAAGTGAATATTTGTATGATTGGATTTCTACACATTTTATTTAGACGTTAAAGCTTTATTTTGTCATGACTTATATATATATATTGTATATACTTGGTCTTTACAATTTATTTTTCAAATGAAACACAAGGAAAAATAAAGTTTTACACATTTTTTACTATTTCACAATACAACCATTTTTGGCTGTTTGAGAGAGAGAGAGAGAGAGAGAGAGAGAGAGAGAGAGAGAGAGAAAGGGAGAGAGTGAGAGAGAGCAACAGCGTTTAAACAAACATACAAAAGAAAAGAAAGAGAAACCGAGAGTGAGTGAAAGAGAGAGAGAGAGAGAGAGAGAGAGAGAGAGAGAGAGAGAGAGAGAGAGCAACAGCGTTTAAACAAACATACAAAAGTAAAGAAAGAGAAACAGAGAGAGAGAGAGAGAGAGAGAGAGAGAGTCGATAAATGAGTGAAAGAAAAACAGTAAAAGAGTAAATTAAGAAAGGAAGAGTAATAAAGTACGCGTCAAAGAGAGGAAAGAAGAGATCAAACAGATTTTTCGAGAGTGAAGGAGATAGATCGGTAAAGAAAATGAATGACAGATTATATAACGAGAAACTGAGAGAAAGAGAGAGAGAGAGAGAGTGTGACTGAGAAAGTTAAAGAAAATTTACAGAGAAAGAGTAATCAAGAACATACAGAAACAAAAAAAGAGAGTGCAAAAGAAGAGTGTTAACAGCATGACTTAACGTACCTACAAAAGGAGAGAAAGGAGTGAGAGAGAGAGAGAGAAGGTTAGTCGATAAGAGAGAAAAACAGTAAATAAGTAAATCAACAGAGGATGCAGAATAAAAAAAACGCGACAAAGAGGAAGAAGAAGAGACCAGACAAATATATCGAGGAAGTAGATCGGTATAAAAACTGAAAGACAAAGAAAAAGAGAGAGAGAGATAGTGACTGAGAAAGTTAAAGAAAATTTACAGAGAAAGAATGATCAAGAACATGCAGAAACAAAAAAGAAGGACGTGGAGAAACCGGTATAGAAAAAGAGAAGGAAAGAGAGAACGTGTCTGTTTGTTTGAGAATGAAAGAGAAATGCTGTGAGAATCATATAAACAGAAAGATAGATAAAACGGATAGAAGATAGATGAATAAAAAAATGATATATAGATAATTAGGGAATAAGAGAAAGGGTGAAAACAGTTTAGTAAGAAACATTGGGAATTTTTCTCATGTTAGCCGATAACAGCACATAAAATCTAATTCAAAAATCAGACATTAAAATTTAATTGTTAAACAATGTTTAACATATGTAGAATTTAGAATTTTTATTTTAATCGGAAAACTTGTTACTAGCCAAAATTTCAGTGTTCTCCAATTTTTTTAAAATTTTCTGTCGTTACTTTTGAACAAAGCTAAATTGTTTAAATTGCGTTTGTAAATAGTTTGTAAAATAATGATTAACGGTGTAATGTATCTCGTGTCGAAAGCGACAACTGCGAAGCCGATTAAGATCCTCCCTGTGAACCGTGTGATAGAAAGCAGGGTTAGATAAGTTTTCATTCGCTCGTAAATCATTGTTAACACTTTTTTCCATTTGTTTTTCGTCCAGATGGCGTTGAAGCTAGACGACCTCATCGGTAAAAAGAAGGAGGCGGCCCAGATCCTGGATCTCTCCAAGGCGACCGCCAACAACAGCGAAGAATTCAAAAGAATAATGGAAAAAGTGCCAGAATTCAGGATAAAACCGGAAAAGGTAAATTAATGTTGAAAGTACTCAGAGGTAATTTTAATCTGTCGGTTGTTTCCAGTTGAAACCTGAAGACATCAAATCCTTTGAAAGGGAGAGCCGGGGTAGGAGAAGAAAACCGAAAAAAGCCGAAGAACCGGCCAGCTACCAGTTCGCAGATCCTGTCCCTGAAGAAATGCGCTCAGTGAAACTAAGCGACTTGTGTCCTGTCAACATCCAATGGAACATGCTTACGACGCTCAGACCTAAAAGCAAAACCGACAACGAATATTTCTCAAGGTAACCCTTTTGAAAGCATCCCTAAAGACCTCTCTCCTTCCTTTATCCTTCATCTCTGTTCTCCTTCAGACCCAAAAAAGACAAAACAAGAGGCAAGGCCTCTGCAATGAATCTTGAATGCTTCACAAGACGTTTGTTCAATGAGCGCAGGCTCGTCGAACTAGGAAAGCTGGTTTTGGCCACCCAGGAAAAAGAGAAAAAGATCACGGACGAAAGCTTCAAAAGAAAGATGAAGAACAGGTCTGGCGTCGTTGAAACGAGGTACATCTCTTGCGCGGAATGTGGAGAGGATTTCTGCCAAAAAGAATCCTGCACTTTGTTCACATACGAAAACTTCAGAAGGTAATTTTTAGATATCAGTGTTTATACCTAATTGTTCTTTTTCATCATAATTGTCAGCCTGTTGCTATTTAGGACAGCCAGACGAAAAGGCATGGCCCATATTTTCAATTTCTTTGCTCCGACAACCTAATGTTTTTATTAAGCTCTCTCCCTCCCCCCTTAGATCATAATTTATTTTTCATTTAACTAACTGTATTGTTATTTCTCTTTCTTTTGCATATCTATCTCTCTCTCTCTCTCTCTCTCTCTCTCTCTCTCTCTCTCTCTCTCTCTCTCTCTCTCTCTCTCTCTCTCTNATCCTTTCCAAAAACAATTTTCTTTCTTTTTCATATTCCGGACATTCCATTATGATATGATTGAGATCCTCCACAGTATCGCACGTCGCAGTTTGGACTTTCCCTCAAACCGATCTTAAATTTATGTGCGCCCCACAATCCATACGTACGATTACCAAGAAGAAATGTCGAGAAGCCCGATACCCCTGGAACCAGGGTACCTTGGGCATCACGGTGAACCTACACTTATACAAGTGTCCCGCCGGAGTCTCATTATATAAATCCTGCCAGTCGCTAAGCCATTCCCTATTTAGTGCTCTTGTGCTATCAGACGCTGTCATTTTGTATTTTCAGAACACCCCGCATACTGTAGCCTCCTTAGCATAAGTGTCTACTATTTCATTGTCTCGTATACCGGAATGCCCTTTGATCCAGCAAACTTTCACCGATTTTCCACTATTAACCAAAGCGTTGTATTTCAATAATATTTCAATCATGATGTGGTCGTATTTCGCGTAAACGTTTACGCTTTCTAACCGGGACACTGCAGTCAGGATTGCAACTTTCGATATACTGTGAATCTATTTACTTATCAATCTAATTATTTATCTTTATCTTAATCCGTTTACCTGTCATTCGCTTTCCCTTTCCATCTCGTTCTCTATGTCTTTTTCCCTCTCTCTCTCTCTTTCTCTCTCTCTCTCTCTCTCTCTCTCTCTCTCTCTCTCTCTACCCCCGTCATCACTTCTCTCTACTTGTCTCTCCTTTCTTCTCGACATCTGTCCCACTCTCTCTCCCTCTATTTCTCTCTCTCTCCATCTATCTAAGTATATCTACCTATCTATCCAATTATTTATGTCTCTCATTCTCTACTTTCTCTGCTCTCCGTCTGTTTGCCTGTCTCTTTTTCTCTTTTTCTGTCGACCTATCTAATGGTTTATCTCTATCTCAATCCGTCTACCTGTCAATCTCTTCCCCCTCCATCTCGTTGTTTTTGGGGGGGGGGAGTCCCCATTACCCGTGGACCCTAGTATTGGTGGAATGGTGATACCAGCAGCGCAAAACCTGAACCCGGGAAACGAAGACGAGCGCACCACCCCGGCACCACGAACGGCCAGGACGGGAAGGGAGAGATGCTTTTTTTCCTGTTTCCTCACTGGAAGGCATGGATAAAAACCATGTACATAAAAAAACCTAATATGGAAAAGTCCACGTCCTCGAGGGACAGGGGATAACGCGCCCTGCATCCCTCCCATCCGTCACACCGGCCGCCGCCAAGAGCAGGCACCCACCCCCGACCGTCTACCAAAGTCTACCAACGAATCAGACCTCTATTCCACACTCTGTGATATAGTCGTATAGTGACC